CGGAAATTTCGTATTTTTTTCCATTTCTGGCACGAATGTGTTCGTGCTGAATTCCAGAGTAATTGAGGCTATGGTCTCCTCCGTATGGAGAAACAGTGTATTTCTGCAGGCCCTTCATCTTCTTCAATAAGCCATGTTTCGTTATCGTCAAAGATGGAGAAAAAATCCTCGAAATGCCGATAATTTACGGCCGATGTGACGATACCACAATGCCCACAAACACGTGTGTAACAGAGCACAAGCTCTGCCTCGCTTTTCGTCGCAAACGACGATTATTTCAGTTTCTGGCTAAACAGCCAAAAGCGGTCGCGATCTCGTCGCTATGATGGCGACGAAACTAATGATTGCGCAAACGGAAGTAACATGCGGCGCACACAGTCTATGTGAATAATTTGCGAACATTTGAATGATAAGTAGTATTTTTGGCACAGATACTCAATCTTTTTTATCTCTATACATGTCAAAGATAACATAAGCGTGTAGAACGTGAAATATTTTTAATTTTAATGCAATAATGTCAAATAATTGAAATTTATTTGGCTTCCGATGTTCGAAAACTTATTTTAAAGTACCTTATCTTCCGATAAATTTTTATACCATTTCTAGGGTTAATTGAAATTACAAGTATTCTTGTACATTATTGTTCAACTAAATTTGTTTGAATTAACGTTGACATTGTTTTTAAAATAATGAAATATGTAATGTGTTTCGTGAAATATTGTTGCAATTTATTTTTTGATAATTAACCCCATGTTATTAGAAATAAAACGTGTAATTATCATAGATGAGGTATAAAGCAGCACTCATCCAATGTATTTTTTTATCACACGCTCCCGGCATATACGAGGTACAGGCATAGACGATGTACAGGATAGACCTAACACGTAATGCATTTTTGTGTCCTACGTTCTGAAATACCGATCGTGTAAAAAACCAGAGATTTTGTTATGCCCTCTACGATATAAAGCGGTGAGTTTAGGAATTATATACAATCCAACCATCAAAGATGGTAAAATCGACAGATGTAAAAATCCTCTTTTATTAAATTTACATATAAAGATAAATACATATATTGGATTGCTTGGGTAGAATTGTTCACGATCTTTTGACAGCAATAGAACACGCGTATGTGATGAATCAACCACTAATAAACAATTACGTTACTTTCTTACTTATAATTGCATAGTTACTTTTAATTCCAATTCCAACCACTATTGATGTTATAATTTTATTCTCTCTTGAATCGGTAACGTTGGTAGCGTCACGAAAATGGCAAGGGTCTTTTCGGCCCCAAAGCCCCGGACAAAATGTTCCATAAGGTACAAGGTCTATCCTGTACGTCGTCTGTGTTAACACCTAAAGCATTTGTTTGTAGGGCTGTAAATGCCCTTACCATTTTCGTGTCGCTTCCAACGTTACCGATTCAGCATAGAATAAGATTACAACATTACTAGTGGTTAGAATTAGAACTAAACATAGCTATGAAATTAAAAAATAAGATATGGAACAGGATATCATATAATCGTACACGAAGTATAGAATTCTGTATTTCTGCATGTATAATCTATGCATTAGGTTGATCGAAAAGTTCTATCGTTGTATTTTCAAAGAAAGTAAACTAAGGTACTTTATATAAAAGTTGTATCAATTAATCTGTGGTGTAATATTTATTGCTGCTTATAATTGTTTCCTAAGTACTATTATCTCCTTTATGTAAAATTTCACATTCTTGCAATTTAGCATTTAAATTTATTAATAAAAATATAATGAACACATTGATTTTCCATAGAAAAATATTTCTTAGATATCGAATGAAAATGGTCCAATGATTGTTAGTAAATTTAATACATCGGAGGTTATCTTACGTAGATGTTTCTTTAACGCCGTTTAACACGTTCGTTGCCACAGACGCAGCATATGCAGTTCAGAATCGGCATCAACAATCCGTAGACAGAGTGTCAGTTGATCACATCAAAAGTCGATGCCTCTGCTACGCGATAGACGACTACCACCGCGAATCTTTCGTTGAACGCAGAGCCGGCGTGGGTGTATGCGTGCCTGGTTGAGACTATTCATCGGTGGCACACGGTATGGACCTTTTCGATTTTCAGGTGGCAGCGAACGTGTTAAGTATGTACTATGTAGGGCTGGAAAGATTACTCGCGGGATGGTACAGGGGCAAGGGGAGTAAGCCGCTCACTCAATCTTTGCGATGGATTAGAAGATGTGACCGTTTTGACCAATAATAAAAATGCGTGTGATTCGACTTTATGAGTGTCTCTGCTACAACCAATGGGGCCCGCATTCCTTTCACGGCAATCATTCTAGCTCTGCGTAGTAGAGGCAAGGTATATAGAATATACTGTATATACCTTGTCTGTGGTTCAAGTTTTATTTTCCATCAATATCATTTTAGTAATAATATTTTAAGCAATTAAAAATAATATTTGGAGATAAAGAAAGAAAGGAAGGAAAGATCATTTGCCTTATTATTTTATAGTTACTGTTTTCGGTTTAATAATATTGAGTCCAACAATTATTTAAAAATTGAGTAGTATTTTTGAGATGAGAAAGAAGGAAAATTTCAAATGTACGCATTAAAGTATGCTGCTACAATATTGATTGCAAATACAAAATGTATCTATAATTTGAGGATACAAATTTTTGTTCTGATTAATTCTCGTTTTATCCAAAAACATACAAGCAATTTAAATTTAAGAAGGGTGTAATCATTTATATCAAACTATTAAAAAATTAGAATACAAAATTAAGAATAAATAAGAAATACAAAATATGTTTTTGAAGAGAGAATATGCATTGTGAAACAATTGTGGGAAAGGAAATAAGCTATAATTTTTATAGTTCTAAGGTTGTAAATATTAATGTACATATAATTAATGTATAAGTCCACACGTGAATGGAAAGCTAACAAATTGGCATTTTGTAATAATACAAACTGAAATAAAAGTAGAAATCAAGATAAAGTATAGCAAATAAATTGTAAATTGACAATAACAAACTGTTTTTCGGAGTATTATGATCCTATATTTTCACGTTTAACGATGCGCGCGGCTTTTTCATTCACCGCGGAATATCACGCACGCGCAAACACGAGGTTTGCGTCTTTGGGTTGGACCACGCAGTGTCACGTGACCGCAACGTGTATATACGTCCGGCTGCCGGCAAAGTTCCTCACTCATTCTCTCGAACCTTTCCAACGAGGTTCTCTTTTTGAATTTACACTCTAACTTTTCGATGGTCTGCACTCGTGACCAATGTGTAATTGCTTTCGAAGTCTACCTATTGAAAGACAGACCGCCAATGTTTGCGACGGCAATTCTTGCAGACAATCCTGCAACGAAGAAGCACGCACGTAGGGGGCAATAATCATAAATTGGCGTTATCCAATGATTTCTTTCTTTATCCTTGAAAAGTAAGAGAAAGAAGAATAAACGTGGACTGTCCCTTTATTTGAGGCACGAGTAAACATTGGATTCAATTCAAAGTTACCGCTCGAGTCATCACTTTTCACGCGAAGACGAAAACAACACTTCGTGGACGGTTAGTGGCGCGGGAATGGGTTTGACGGATACGAGTTTCGAGGTACTTTTGACCCTGTGGCGGTTTCTCGTCGTGGGAGTTGTGTGGACTGAAGAGATCTGCGGTCAGTGTCGCGGTGTCTTGCCGAGCCACAGCATCGCCGGTCCCACTCGTTAATCATTTTGGACGGATTATTTGGTAAGTAAAAAGTACACGATGCAAGTATTTCTGACGTCACAATTAATGACGTTACAATTGAAATTGACATTTAGCAGTTTGATTTATTCGCTAACGTGTTAATACTGGGGTGGGATGTTAAACATACGAACTTCATTGTTGAAAGTTAATAAAATGTACATGTTGCACAGAGAAATAAAACGAAACGATCTTTTACAAAGTTCGTAGTTGCACTGAACTGTATATTATAAAAACCAAAGTTAACGCAACTGTTGCTTCGAAGAAGGAAAAGATCATTCCTAAATTAATGAACGAAGAAGTAATAAATTTTAAGAAATCCATAAAATCGTTAATACTTCTAGTTTAACTTTTAATTATTATATTTATACAATACATAAAATATAGAAAATATAGAAATACAATAACTGATGCAAATTTTCAATATGTTTCTGTCTTAAATATTTGATCACTAGGAAAGGTGGAGAAAAAGAGGTAACAAGCATTTTACTGGTATTAGTATTTAAATTGGAATCAGTGGTTCTTACATTTACATAAGTAGGAAACCATAATTAATAAGAAACTCCCAAATTCATAGTTCTTAATTTATTACAGTTTATTATTCTCAGATAATTCTTCTAGATATGTGAAAAAGTACAATTAGTAGGTTATTATCTATTACGAATATTTCTCTGAAATTATACGATTTAATTTTCGTGAGAGCACAATTTTGTAAAAATGTTTTTTGAATTAAATTTTTTTACTTTTTTATTGTGCTTCGTAGAATTTTCGAAATACCATTGCAGACAATTTTCTATTTTAAACATTTTCCATGTATTAATACGAAATCGGTATCGTCGTTACTGTAAAATTGATTTTACATGCTGATTAAGATTGATAGTTCGGTTGCGAGTTTCATATAGAGATCTGTTACCTGTTGCGAATGAGCAAGAATACCGACTTAGAGTGTTCTCTATAATTTGTCGAATCTTAACGTTAAAAATTTTAGTACCGATAAAAATGAAAAATGACGAAAGTGAATTAATTGTTGTCTATTCTTTAAATGTTGATTTTGAAAGATAGTTTCAATCTAATTTTACAAATAACTAAATAATTAAACAGTGAGTTGTGTTCTTTGTACAAAAGCATCAGACTTTGTCATTGCAGGTGTATGTTTCACGTGCGAGTACTGTTACCTTTCATAGCCGTTTGCGGTTTCAATAATTATCGTTATTCTCACATTTCAGATTGTAATTCATATTTCATACATACGTTTCTAATAATTAACCTTAGATGCGCGATTCGCAGAAAGTCGTGGCGTTTCGATTTTCCTAAGAACCAATATATTTTCCTCGATAGAAACTTGGAAGTTGTGACGCACACTGGAGTGAAAGTGAATACAAAAATTATCCATCAATTAGGATCTTTGAAAGAGTCATTACTGGCTTTGATAAAGATTAAAGATATAATGTTGCATTGTTAAAGTTTCAAAATCTCAACATGAAGCTTGAGCGTATCCTTTTACGTTTCTTTTTTTCTATTATATTGCAAATTATATATATATATATGCAATTGTTCTAACAAATTGTACCTTTTGAGTGACCTTCAGTACTCGTTTCAGTGAAAAGTAGTTTAACGAAAATTTTGTATCTTTTTGCTTTTTAATATTCATTTGCCGAAGTAGGTAAAGCTTTACAGACAAAAAGATGTTTTATCCTTTTTCCTTTATTAATTACACAAGTATATTAATATGTTAAATATTTCACAGTGATACATTGTAAAAGTATCTTTTTACAGGAAATGTTTTTTCTGCAGTGTCTACGAAAACTTAATTTCTTTCTTGCTACTTTCACGCTTAAAATTGGTCGTATAATTGTCTGTGTGAAAAGAATTTTGAAATATATAGTGAAAAGCTAAAATTTTGTTAGAAAGAATATTAAACGATTATAACGTCAGGAAAATGCAATATATGAACGCTTATTTGGACGCAGCGAAAGATTTGAAAGATTTTATTACCTTCGTTGTTATACAAATCCAGTTTTTTCGAATGAATTAATTTTTCAAAGTGAGTGCAGTAAGTTTAATAGCTCTTCAAAAGTGCGTTTAAAAAACAAAAAACAGAAAAATAATATAAAATATAGCTGACAAGAGTGCATATTTAAAAGCTGATGTTCATAGAAAAGTGTAACATGATATAATAAAAAGAATGAAATTAAGGAATTGTTAAGTTGGCTAAACAAAAGAAGAGAACAATGAGTATACTACCCGAAAAGAAAAAGAAATGTGACAAGTAGGTAATTTGAAACAGAGTAATGTTTTGTAATTGACAAAATCTATAAATTGAAGTATTATAATATGTACAATATATTACAATCTTATGTCAAATTAGTATGTCGTAATACTTCTTATTTGAGTTAGAAAGTTAGTAGTTCGGTGTATTACATTAACCGTCATTTTACGTAAAAATGATTTCAAGAGCAAAGGGCTGTTTAAAAAGTGTATAAATTTATTAACAATTTCATTCGACATTTGTTACGTACGTGTTGTGCCCTGGAACTATGTAGAAATTTATAATTTCTCCTTATTGTACCATAATGCAATACAAATTTTAGTAATCTAACATAAAATTATATTTATACTCGCGAGAAATATTTTTCATACATCGTGCACAAAATGATAGTA